TAAATTTTAAGTATATCCCCTTTAGTTTCGTTTGTTAATATATTTTTTAACTAGCGACCTGACCGGCGTCGTTCATGAGCAATCCTAATACTAAATTTCTTTACTATTTAATACAATTTTTTTTTAATAATAATATAATATATAACTTCAATAACTCTATCTATTTAAAAAACCGCATCAAAATCCGTTGCGTAGTTTTAGAGATTTTGCATTCATTCGGACAAAGAAAGCAACTTTTTTTACTATGTAGTACCTATGTGATGTTGAGTTTCTTTTGAAAGTTATGTACACAAAATGCGTCCTATTTTCATAAGACTACGTAAGTATATGACATTAGATTGGTATGAAACCTAAAATAATCGAATTAAAAAAAAAGTATCCATTTAAATTACCTTCTATTAATCCGAAGTACTTAATGCATAGAAACAGGTTACTTCGTACATAAATAGTTTTAAATCATAAAGCTCTTTAATAATTACTTATTTAAAATCTAGACTAAACACTATTTCGAGTCTAATAATACCTAACTCTAATTTAAATCTGACGCAAATGGACGCGTAATAGGCAGGAGGCTTAGCCTCGTGACCTTTGATCTTAATTTAACCGTCAAACTATTTAGCCTCTTAAAGCGATAGCTATTTAAGTCTATTTTTATATGCCGTGACGCCTTTGATGCAATTCCATGTATGTATTTAAAGTACTTTTAAACATGTCATTTTTAAACCCCCAATTATAGGGGGTAAGCCTTTCGGAATCCCGGGGTTTCGGGGCAAGCGCAATAAGGAATTGGCCTCGGCCCAGAGCAGGAGAAGGAACGGGGAGTTTTAAGTCAGTAAGAGACTCTCTCGCATCACCTGGGCATCATCTGGGTGAGAGAAGTCATATGATGATTTTCCCCTCACAAAAAAACCTATCGATATGGTATATTTATCATACTAGACACAATTTTAAACACCGTTCTGGGATATTTTCGAAAAACAAAAATCTTCCTACCTGGGTTTTGAACACCTTTTTTGTAAAGTCGGGAAATCGTTCAATGACTTTTCCCGCCCTTGGGTGAGACTGTCAGATTCTTACTGTCTAAAAATCAACCCGTTTTTTTGCTGTTCCAAGGGTCATGATACATCATTGTAATTGCAACCCTAGCTAACCTGGTAGGCCTTATCTGTGGTAGTGTAATTTCAAAGTCAAAAACATTTAAGGTAGGTACTTTTAATAGAATTTAAAAACGTAAAAATATATTTATATTCCCGTTAGTCAGTTCGTCAGTAAATCTGTGCTCGTTCCAAAGTTTCAAATTCAACATTATAAAAATGTGTAGAGCAAAAAATCCAACATTACACTTTAAAAAATATAAGTTTAAAAATCTCACAAATACTTTATTTACTATACGCATTTGAGAACAATTCAGAGATGGAATTTCTTGCTCGTTTTATGGAGTTTCTTGCTCGTTCTTCTCCATTCGAATCTACATTTTGGAATGAGCACCTAGCTTCACTGACGAACAGACTGACAGACTACTTTTCTATTTTGGATTTATGTTTAGTTGGAATAAATGATTTTAAATTTAACTTTGACTTTGAGAAAAAGAAAAAAGACTTTGAAAAAACTCTTTGAGGTGCATACTTGACGTGACAAACCCTTAATCCATAGCTAGGCAATCGTGTTTTCAACCGCTCAACCGACGAGGCCCTCAATTTAAGCCTATCAACATTAAAATCTAGATTTTTCCTTAATAAGACTAACTAGGTCACCCGTCAGTCTAGTCTAGATTAAGCTAAATATCTAGCATTCATGTTAGAACTCCTAGTAATTATCTCTAATGCGTTCGTACGACTTGATTAAGCAACTGACATTTTATGTAAGTTATAATTAAGTAAGTACATAGCAACTTAAGTATAATTATATTGATGTAGGTATGTACATAAATATCTACAGTACAATTATAGGTAGTTTTATTACAAACTTTCCGCTTTGCTCCCGTCATGTGACTATCTATAAACTTTCCTACCGTAACCTACAGCTACACTACCTACCCTATCCTACCTACCCTACCCTATCCTATAGTTTTTATTCTAGTTCTAAACTAGGTACATCCCCACCAATTCTCAACGAAATCGGTTCAGCCGTTCTTGAGTTACAAATAGTGTTACCAACTTCACTTAACATTGGTGAGGGAGTGTCGAATCTTACTGACTAAAAACCATCCTGTCTGCAGCACGTTATTGAGCTTGCCCTGTAATTCCGGCTGACACAGTGAAGGATCTACAATAATGGTCCAGGCGTTGCCGCGTTGTTGAGTTATGCGCTCACCAACACATTTTGCGATCCATTTTTATATAATTATAAAGATAAACAAATATATACTTGAAAAAAAACGTGTTCCTGTATGCTGGTATGTGTGTGTGTTTTTGTTTAGTCGTGTGAATGAATTTATCAGACCATTCCTTCTCCCCCCAAAGGCCTCCAACTCTCGGCGACGTTGATTGCTTACCATCAGTTTAATCTCCAAGACAAAATCTACGTTTTCACAATTCCTCCACTGCAGAGCAAAATAATTACTACCTGACACTCCTTTATGCGTAAAGTTTTTAGTTATTTGATTAGGTAAAGTGAAATATTAATCTCAACATCATCAACCCATAAGTGCAGCAGTGGGCTGAGCAAAGGCCTCTTCTCGGAAAAGTCACATTGGTACTTGCCAGGTTTCGATATTACCTCAAGATTGTCTTCGAGAGAACCTCCAGGCCAAAAAGACGTTGAAACTTCAACAATGGTTAAAATAATACAAAGAAAGAAAACAACAAAAATTAAATGAGTAAAAACATATATTTTATATATCACTCGTTGATTTTAAATTACTACATTTCCGCATCGAATTGGAACCAAATATTAGAGGGTACTGTCATAAAGACTTGATATACACACAGATACACTTAAATCGTATTCTTTTATATCTAAACACACATATGTACAAGTTTACTATGCTTTTTTATTAAATAAAAAGAATGTACATCTAACCTAAATATTGTATGTTAGTTAATTTTATTTACAAACTGTTTTGTGGCATTAAGAAGAAGAAGGAACATTTTACATTTAATTAATAATAAAGACATTTACAATATCAAAAGGTTGGGCGTATAAGGTTGCTGAGAATCTGTAATAAATAAATGCTATAATTAAATAGGTAATAAGGATTATTAAGTATTAATGTGGCATAAGGTTTATAATGTCCAATCAAATATATGAAGCTATGTCAAGCAATTATTGTTTTTTGATAGTAAGAATTATTTACTGCCCATGTTATATATGTATTAATTTGAAATACTGGTTATTGAGACATTATCTGTAATCAAATCTGATTCATAACTATTCATAATTTTGCATAATACGAATAAACCTAATACAATGTTCTATTTCCCATCCAAACCATACAATTTTAAGATGGCGTCTTTAAATACAAATTTGAAAATAAAATCCTTTAAAAAACATAAGTCCCAAATATGCCCAATCTTAAACACGAGTTCCTTATTAAGTACATTTTAAGAAATAAATAGTTTTATATACATTTTCTGAATTCCTTTCTTACCACAAAATAAAATAAATTGTATAAACGTCAAATTGTCACTTGTCACTTGTCAACCATCTGTCAACGTATGAATGAACTAAAAGATCGAATGAATAGGAATTCTTTAAGCGATCTCGCTCAACGGTCTTTATTGAAGGCTTCATTGCATTGAGTGCAGCCCTTAGGCAGACATGCATAAAATAATGTGCATTCAGAATTAGTTAAACTATATTTAAACTCTTTTTAAGTAATTTTCTTGTTAAAAATGATGATTCAATCTTCTATTTTACTCTGGTTATGACGCCACTGATTTGAATTTCGAATGAACAAGTGACAACCTCTCATGACTTAAGTAAATCCGTTAAAAAGATAAAATATTCGTCAAAGATTAAGTACCTACGTTGAGAACGAAATAATATTAAAAACATTTAGCCATTTCACTGAACACCAAATCGAAAATAAAATCAGAATAAATATTTCTATATTCTATTTATTTTAATCTCTCAATACGCTCTCCACATTCTGACGTCATCAAAGTCTACAAATTGACGTCACGTCATTCAGTCGGAAACTAACATCAGGGTGAAGAATTATTATAATACTGCATAGAGTTGTTAGATATTTTTATTCACATAACATATTACTCTAAAGGAACTGGCTTAATAAAACTACTATATTTGAGCGAATCTTTAACTTTAGGTATATTATGTACGCAACATTTAACTTTCATGTGTATTGCTACTCAATTTTGAGCTATAAATGTAAGTATACAGGACCGATTTCAACAAAACAGTCAAAAAAATCCGAGAGCAACATAAATAATAAACTATTAAATTCATTAACTTAAAATAAGTACACAATAATTATTGAGACAAGGACAATTATTTTGACTATATTTTTGATGATCATTCGTTAAAATCGGTCCTTATTTCTATAACAATAAGTCACAAAATCACCGGTATTGCTCAAAATTCACCTGTCAAAATCAATACTAAAATCTTGCAGCCTTATCTCAACATCCAATGACTCCAATAAACCTTATAATGTCACATAATCAGCGAATTAAAAGCAATCAATGCGAATGTAATTAAAAACGGACTTTTACGAAAGAATACATCGTAAAATATCGACATGCCCGCTAATCGCAAACACTTAATGAATGAAATCGCGATAATTAAAATCGACTAAGAGTTAATTGAGCTGAAAATGGAATCTAGATTTCAAATTACGAATGGCGTGGAGCCAAACGCTTTTGGTTCTTTGCCTCGGATGTTTTTTTTTTAATAGCGCGTTTGAACTGGATTGTGTAGTAGTTAGAGCATTCCATTGATCGATATTTTTTTTATTGGGCTAAAAAAATCGAATATCCAAAGAGAATTTATTTCTTAATCTTTATAAAGTTATTATGTGGAGTGTCTACTAGATGAATATAGTATAAAAGTGAAGTATAATGTAAAATCAAAAACTCGTATCTTTTTATCGAAACAAAATTCCACAAAACAGTATCAAGCAATTAAAAATATATTACCTTAGCATGTTTTTAAAAAACTACATTTTGAAACATGGCATAACCACACGGTTACAGAACAAAAACAAAAACAAAATAGTTTGTTTTGTAAAATCGATTCAGTCAGTAAATCGATTCGGCGAGAACTCGATACTCGTAATCGTAAATCATATGAACAAAAGACGGAAAGGAAAATACAAATTAGCCTTATAATCGCTCGTTTAAACTTGGGTTTAAGGCCACAGCCTATGAAGTAACATAGTCAACAATACAATGGGAAGTGATCCAGCACATTACAGTCTTAAATTTCGTCAAAAAACTCAAAGAAAACATAAAATTATAAGTTAAAGAGTCCAGTCACAATTTTCTCCCAACTAGTTCAAATTTAATTAAGCAGAATCTTAGTTGCTAATCGATTAATTGACCGTTAAAATTTTAGCGTTGAACTATAATCTGCCATAAAATGGGCAAACGCACGATTAGTGCGAATTCATTATTATTTTCGGTCGATCGAATGAATTCAAAACAGTCACTGGTCACATCACAATAAAAACTGGACTTCACAATTGATAATGGCCATAAAAATTCAAGCACAGAGTTGTAAAGAAATAAAAAACAAGTGACACATTAGAACAATAGTAAAGACACGTCGTTAGTCAAACTAAACAGTTAAGCAACGCGTCAAAGAAATCATCAACAACAGAAAGATCTATATCGTTAAATTCCTAACGCGTAGACAAATAGTGGCTGAGAACAATCGTCAACGGGTCGAGAAACAATTTGGTTACGTCGCGAGCAATTACGAAACGCGATTCGAGAACGCGATAGTTTACGAACGCATCTCTTAATAATAGGGCCCTGAACGCACCCATAATCGCCTTCATCTCTATATTACACCTATCTCACTCTAACACCCGTAACTCTCGTATTGTTATCCTTCTCCACCGTTGACAGCGCTCGTTGAGAAACCACATACCCTGCCTATCAACGTTTCAAATCTAAAATGTCTAATTATACCCACATCACTGGATGAACATCAAAAAAGAGCCATTTTTAATTAATTTAAACCCCGAAAACTATTATAATACGGCCAATTTTGTTATCTAATAAGCCGTGACGCTAACAAGACCCGGGAAGCCATTTTGAAACCGCTTTATAAAGTTGATTTAATGATATGGCCACAATAATGGCTTTAGAATTGATATAAATTATTGCAAACACCACCTAACGCCCACTTTTTGAAGATTGATCATGGTGTGCGTTGATAAACGAGGTTTGTTAATCACATAAATTTTAATTAAAACCTGCAAATTTGATTGCGACATGCCAAGTGCCAAAATTAATTGTTGAAATTAAGATTATTAATGACAATTTTGGGCTTGATTTGTAAAGCATGGCTTATTCTAATCACGATGAAATGTGTACATAATTCATTTCAATTTAGGAAACGCAAGTGCGTTATTGGAGTCAGTGTAGGTTGAGACAAGAGTACAGACATCACCAACGTTGCCAGTGCTAGAATCTCTAAAAAGAATCATAAATAAATAAAACTATACTCTAAACATCTAGATTACATTAATATTTACACAATTTTAACACTTAGTCCCACTGTCTTACGTTTCATTTTCACTTTCACTGAGTTCGTCCATGTCCATATCGATAAGTTCCTCGTCATCATCCTCGTAGGAGTTGTTGAGCTGGCTGCCATCGTCCGGCTTCATGTTCGAGGAACCTGACTTGCCTCCTGTCTTCGCTTCCTCCTCTTGTTGCATTCGTTTGTGTTTCGTTCTTCTATTTTGAAACCAAACTTTAACCTGTTGACAAAGATATTTTTTCATTAGTACCTAGGTATAATGTAATTCTAACAATTATTTTGATTGTACCTAAATCCATCCAGCGTCAAATAAATTTTCATGACGATAAATAAAGTTTCTGCTCAATTAAATGCAAATCTAAATAAATGCTAATTATATTTAAAAAATGCGTTACAGCAGCGATAAAAAATGGAAAGCACAAATCATAACATAATTTCATGGTCGACGAACAACAATAAAGGATTAAAGGAACTAGCTAATAAAAAACTATTCAATGCGACCCCTCCAATCATATATCACATGCTATTGAAAGAAAAATCCGTTGTCGAATTTTTCTGCGCGCCAACAACAGATTTCCCGCCCAAAAAACGTCGGCAGCCATTTTGTAAGACAATTTGTCACATGGTTAATGGCTTGCGAAATGTATTCACGTTGTATCCAGCCAGTAGCTTTTGAGATATTATAACTAATGCATAGAGTCTGTATATCTGTTATTCTGCCAAAAATGGATTTAAGGTTGTATATTACGCTTATTTAGGTTAGGAATTGAGTTACATTTGGCTTTGTCCACAGTGTTTATTGAGTGAGTCACACAATAAAGGGTAATTGCTCATAATAATTTTAGCTTGAATATTGTTTTGGAAGAAATACAAGGCCTTTAAGACAATTTAAGATCATTGCTTTTGTCAAATCATTATTTGTCGTGACAGTACTAGTAAAACCGTTGAATTAATCAAGTAAATGATATTGAAAGGGGTTTGAGTATTTAGAACTGTCCGCCATTAGATAGTGTTCTGTTTGTTAAATTAATATTTCTATTGTTAACAGGTAGGTATGGTATTGGAGTCAATAAATTCAGATTTACGCAACGCAACAACACAACATTTTCTATGAAAATTTTCCACGACATAAAATTACCAAGAATTAGGTAGAAACATATACATAGGTACGATTATATTTTTATTGTCGAAAGCAATAAGTTATCAGGATTTCCATTAAAATTGAATGCGACTATAAAACTGGTCAATCGATATGTTAGTTACAACGGATTGCCGTGAAATTGATGCAATCGTTTGGTTTATGGCTCCTTACAATTCCGTACATGTTATAAATCACATTTTTGTTTATTACTGATAAAAACTTTACAAGGGAATAAGGCAATAACATTGATTTTTCAACTATTTTCTATCAAAAACGTTTTATATTTTTATTGTTGCTTATATAAATGAGGTTTACTTGCTTGAAATAGGACTCTTATCTCGATTTGAAGTTATTATTCGAATGGTTTGATTTGAAAAATCTTTAGGAAATATGTTTTGCTTACCGTAGACTAAATAGAATTGCTAGGGGGCCTGATTCAGAATGTATAAAAAACTGTTTGGTACAAAATAAATTTATTTGTATAAAAAGACTTCTTTTTTTAGTGTTTTATTTGAGCCATGATTGATAACACTACCTTAACATTTAAAAAAAAAAAGAAGAAATAAATAAACTCCTTGATTTACTGTAAAAGACAAATCCGATACGCCAACAAATCCACAAGCGGCGATCGTGAGAGAATAATGATAAATACTAAAAGTTCATGGGTAATGGTGTGTGTCCTTCAATTATAGGGTCCCATACAACGACAGACACGCTACATTACCTCACATATATTGACATCAGAAATCAATCAACTTATATCCGAAACCACCCTTTTTGTAAAAGGTAATTGTGCGTGGAATAGGGGATGTGCTGAGTTAGTAAAATCTTTTATATACAAGTATACTTATTAATATATCTATTATCGTCTATGTAAACTGGTCGAAGGTTTTGGTAAAATAGATATACATAGGTAGAGACATACACTTAAATTATGTTGAAGCCTTTACGTTTAGGCCTCGGCCTAAAGCTGGAGAAGGAACGGGGGGTTTTAGTCAGTAAGAGTCTGAAACTCCTTCTTGCTTCACCGTGGGCGAGAGAAGTCATTTTATGGCTAAAAACCTCGTTCCTTATTCTGCATCAGGCCGAGGCTGCGACAAGGTTAAGGAGCCCGCTTCTCGTGCATGAGGTTGTGGGTTCGAAACCTGGCAAGTACCTACCTACTTTCTATGATTATTTAGACACCACTGACATACGGTGAAGGTAAACATCGTGAGGAAACCTGGACTTACAATTTCTAATTATAAGTTTGAAATCGCCAACCTGCATTGAGCAAGCGTGGTGATTAATGCTCAAACCTTCTTCGTGTGAGAAGAGGCCTTTGCTCAGCAGTGGGCGCTTATAGGCTGATGATGATGATGAAACTAGTAATCGCCGAGAAAAACTTAACTTCAAACTGCTAATTTTATCCAGATAAATATTGTGATTTATGCAATACTCCAAGTTGAAAAATATCTTGCAACAAACATAGGTATCCAACCAGCTTCTTGCAACTTGTAATTTTATGTGAAATTTAACGACATGTACTCATGTCTCAAAGTAACAAAAGGATTTTAACCTGTGTTTAGCAGTTGTAAATCAAAGTTAAGTTCATACAGAATGGATATTATGACCATCCTTTGTTGTTGGTAGTTTCTGAAGACGTCTTAAATATGATAATTGTAGTATTAACTTTGAGTTTTGCAAGTCCATTTGTTTGTTAAACAGAGACAAGTAACATTTACCTCACGTTACTCGGTTCTGTTCAACTTCTTGAGTGCCGTTTTCGACTGCTTTTTGTTTTTTTTGCTTTGTTTTGTTTTTGTTTTTGTTACTGTGTTTATCTTAATTATGGTGTTTTGAGTCAGATTTAGAGTTTTTAAGTTGAAAGGTAAAGTATTTATATTTAATATTTTCTGGAATTATCATTTATTAGTTTCTTTTTTATTCCATATAGTTTCATTACTAAATATTTATTAACATCTAGAAAGTGAATTGAGATGTTTGGATCGAGTTTTTAATTCGCGATTACAATTAAATTTTAAAAGTTCTTGAGACATATTCATTTTTAATTATGATTTAAACATAGGTAATTAGGTATAACTAGGTAGATTAATTACTGACTGAATTCAATAAGTGGGTGTCTCAATATATTTGATGCAAATACAAGATGCATAGTTTGAAACTAAAAAAAAAATCAATATTGTAAGTATCTATTTCTAACTTGAACCTCTCCTAAACAACCTCGTCAATTTAAACAAACGTCAAAATGTACCTACGTTTTTGGAAAAATAATGATCATCCATTTTATGACAATTACATAAATTCAAAGTCCCTATCAGAATGTTCCATTTCAACCCCACTGCCGTCGGTCCCATAGGCCCATTTGTTGGTTACGGGTTACACGCTGCCCATCGATCATACGGTCCTTTATACCCCTAGGGATGTGTGGCGTACCTACTATGTAATTTTGTATCATTTTACTATCATGTTGTAGGGTTAAGTTTTTGACTTTGTTTTTATTTTATTTATTGTTCTGTTTATTTTAAGATGAACTTTTTAGATTAATAGTCTCACATCTGTATAATTCTAGGAAGTGTGAGGTTTTTTAAATAAAATCTTATAACTATGTAATAATTTTTCAGATACAAAAACACGGCGTTGTGATTCGCCGTGTATGTGAGGTTTCCGGAGGCCCAATCTCTTTCTCTCCCCCAATCCCAAAATCCCTAATCCCCAAAAGGTCAACGACGCACGCGTAACTCCTCGGTTGTTGCGGATGTCTATAGGCGCATAATTGCTTACTATCAAGTAATCCGTCTGTTTGTTTAACGTCCTATCACAAAAAAATACTGTTCCCTTTACTTCTTACAAGCAAAAGACCACAACGCAACTAGAAAACATAGAACAAACATAAGTAGGTACATATGTATATGACATATATATACATAGTGTAAATTCACACCATCCCGAAACAAGAGTACGAAAATCCAAAAAACCTCGCAACGAGACGAGCCATCAAGCAATTATCGCATTCTGATGCAAATTTAATGTACTACCACTTCGCACTACAACAACAATAAAAGTTTAATTCGTTCCACACAACGCATCTGCTCATACGCACCAACTACCGTAAAATGAACCCTCATAAAACTCTATTATCCCAACAAAAGAGCTCTAACAACCCTGGTCGTTAAATAAAAGTTATAATTCTCCGCAAACAATCGTTTTAATAGGAAAAGGGATCCACACAATGATACCCGTACTAAATAAATAGGGGTGTCATTCAACATGGCCCGAAATGCGATTAAGTGCTTATGTACGCGATTATACCGTTCCCCTACGGATTAGTGAGCGAGACAGGCTAATACAAAACCCCACGCATCGGAGCGAGACAGCAACCGCTAGGGGAGATACGCAATTAAGAACGCCGCGCGAATTTGGAGGAAATTTTAAATGGATCGTCGTATTACTTTATTGTAGCTCCATTAGTGTTAGAAAGGGACAGATATAGTTTAGAAAAGGACATTATAGTGACAAATTGGGGTTGTTACATATTTGTAGGGTTGGCGAGCTTTAATTGGATGCTAATAAAGTGATTCAGTTAGGAATAAGTGAGTATTTTTTTTTTGGTAGCAAACCGTTTTATTTGAGCCCTTCAAATGAGGGTTGATAAAGAAATGAGACAGAAGATATGATTATTTTTAAAAGCACTGTTATAACTGTAAGGTATTGAGAAATAATATTCGCAGAAAATCAATTGTTAAATGTATTGATCACGTTTTGCTTAGTATGTAAGTTTGTTATAATGTAAGATTTTAGAGTATAATTATTCATTCAATAAACCGACATGTAACTGTCAACTTGTGTCCTTATTGAATCACCTCTACCCTACCAGCACCAAACTAAATACAACATTATATGGCGACCCTGCCATCTTCGACCAATATCAAGAAATAAGAGTTAATAGCAAGAATAAAGATTCAGAAACGAAAATCAAGAATCTAGAAGAAATTACTATGGGTAAAACCTACTCCAAAGAAGAAGTTGTAATCGCACAAAACGGAAACGGCGAAGCTTCGGCATCCACAACTCAGCAT